ATTACAGTGTTCTAACCAGGAGATTATGAATATATGAACAGGAATGGTTGTAGCTGGTGGGCCAGTTAAAGAGGGCCCCAGTCACTCTGAGCCACTATGTTCACCTGAGCCTCAAGTGGCAAGATGACCATTATTCAGGAGCAGATCACCAGTCAGGATGACCAAGGCTGCTTCAGTGCCACACCATGGACTGAAATCAGACTGAAATGGATTCGGATAATCTGTTTCTTCCAAGAATTTCTACAGAAGCCCAGCCATCACACACTTAAGTTCCTTACCCCAAAAAGGGGATATTGTTGAGAGGAAGATGGTTCTCTGAGACCAGGGACGTCCTCTTTTGGAGAGTGCACAACCACTGGTTTCAAGGCAAGCACCATTTTGTGAGGTAGTTTGCCACCCCCTGGACCTGCTTAGCCAGTCCGCTTGTGCCAGAACTTATTACCCAAGATGGGCAATGGTTAAGCTTACATGTGGCGAGACGGACCAATTCAAGTATCTTGTCCGCATCATCAGGCTGCAACAACTGACACTGATAACTGCCCTAACACTGTATTATCTGTGGAATGAAGTTCCAACCTAATATGAGCAACTTTCTCTTCAAAGTGTTTAGCAAATTTATTATAGCAAGTGACCCAGGGTTCCACAGCTGAGTCATATTCTAACAACTTCTTCACTACTCAAAAAAATCTCCTGAATGACAAGTTGAAGATGGAATAGCGTAGGTAAAATAGAACGTTTTGTCCTTTTAACTGCAGTATATTAGGCTCAAAAAGTTGCCACTTCACTTTTTAGTCATATTTTAGTCATAACTGATTTCATTGCCTGTACATCTTTTGTAAACCAAGAGGCATTATGGTTTCCATGACACCAGAGTGGGCACATGAGAGTCATTGATAGCCCTTCAAAAAGAGTTATTGCCACTTTTTAGTCATATTTTAGTCATAACTGATTTCATTGCCTGTACATCTTTTGTAAACCAAGAGGCATTATGGTTTCCATGACACCAGAGTGGGCACATGAGAGTCATTCTATTGATAGCCCTTTCCATCTTACCAGGCCATGGTGAGACGAAGACCTCAGTCAGCCTTATCAGCCAAAAACTGCTCCAGAGCATTCAAGAATCTTTTGCATTCCAGATTTCTCCATCTTAAATTAATCACGGTGTTAATTCAGTGTTCAGGGGAGATGCTGTGTATTGCAGTGGTCCCCAACCTTTTCTGAGTTGTGGACCAGTTGGGGGGGTGAGGTGCACTCGCGGAAGGGAGGGACGCGAAGGAGAGGAACGTGCTCATGGAGGGGTGGGTTGTGCTCATGCATGAAGGGCTGGGATGCGCTCGTGAGGAGGGTTGAGATGCGCTTGCATACATGCACGAAGGGTGCTCGCGTACATGTGTGGATGGCGGGGGATGCATTCATGGAGGGGAGGGACACCGGTGGGTGGGGTGGGAGATCTGTCTCCGCGGCCCGGTTCTGCCATGGCCATGGACCAGCACCTGGCCGCAGAGCAGGGGTTGGGGACCCGTGGTGTATTGCATTTTCTTGCCTTGGTTGATGCAACAGAATTGAGTTCATTTTAGAAATGTGAGATGTAATTGTGATCTATATGTGTGTACCATTTTTCTATGGTATCTTGGGGTTCAGTGATGTTATTATGCAAGCAAATGGAATGTTGCATGGTGGTTAAAGTAAAGGGTTCTTTTATGCTAGTCAAGATTACTAGGTTTTGCTTTTATTGGAAAAATTAAGTTATTGTGCTGACTAGACTGCTGGGATGCCTGATTTTGTGCCCTTCAGTATAAGAGCACATCTTCATTTTTTTTTAGACATTAAAAAGTTTGTCATTATAGGAGAGGTTTACAGCAGGGAAGCTGTAGGAAAGAATGGTTAGGAAAAAAAATCTAACTTTCCTTATTTTGATGCTTGAATTAGCAGTTTTTTAAGAATTGCTAAATAGAACAATCTAAGATAGCTGGAACAGATTTTAAAGAGTTACATTGATAGTAATTCTATTACTAAACAGGTTTTAATTCAAATCATTTGTGCTTACAGCCAAAAAGAAAAGAAAAGAAAAAGAAAAAATAAAGAGGACAAAATTGTTGTTGCATAAAAAGAAAAGAAAAGAAAAAGAAAAAAATAAAGAGGACAACACTGTTGTTGCACCTGTAAGACTAACTGCTATATGTTAATATGAGTTTTTGTGGACGAGTCCCCTTCTTCCAACTTGTCCACAAAAGCTTACATTAAGACATAGCAGTTAGTCTGTAAGGTGCTACAATGTTTCTTTCTTCTTTATTTTTGATTTTTCTTTTGTTTTTGCCTGAGCGGCTAGCACAGACTAACACGGCTGCCTCTTCTAAAACTGTGCTTACAGAGAACATCTGCAATCCTGAAAACTGTCACGTCTGACAAAAAAGTTTCTGCCATCAATTCATCTCATTCCAAGTCTTCAGTTTACACAGCAAAAAACGAGGCAGTTGGAGAAGAAAGTGATGTTCCTGAAAATAAAATGCACATTATGGAAAATAGTGAAATGGTAAAAGTGAAAGAAGAAGAAGTTAGTAAAGGTATTGTACATTGGTGCTTAATATTCTAAATAACTTACACTGTTAAAATATTTCATAGACTCTTGGAATAATGGAGTTGGAAGGGACCTAACAGGCTATCAAGTTCAGCCCCCTGCTCAGTGCAGGAATCCTAATCAAATTACCATTGACAGATGGTTGTCTCATCTTACACTTATTGTGTTTTGCTGTTCAGTAACATTTTCCCAGTTGTGCCCAGGTGCTAGTTGGGACCTTTAGTGTGTAACAGACTGGGTTATTGGTACCTCCCAACCTTTACCCAATCAAGGCCATGGTGCTTCTAGGTGAGTAGGATGTAATGCCCCCCCTCCTCTGCTCATCACTGAATTCACTCAAATGACATTGACAGCATGTACTTGTGCAGTGAATAAAGATTCGTACGCTTTCTTAAATGTAAAAGACTACAATTTCCTGCATCAAGTGGTGTGCTTAGGAATATGGGGCTGTAGGTTGGCATTGTTGGCCTGCCTTCTGATATCATGACTTTCCTGGCAACGGTTCTCTGGTTCATACTTGAGCATGGATGTTTATATAGAGAATGCCTACATAATCTGGGAATAAATGATCTTCAGAATGTTAGAAACAGAAGACATTCTGTATTTACAAAGGCTTACTTTACTGAAAAGCGTATGGAATGCTCTAAAATCAGTCTTTAGGCAGCACTTTCTGCTTTGAAAGAATAGGTTCAGTATCATTCTGTTGTACACCTGAAAAGTAAAAGAGGAGGAGAAAGAGCACATGAGGAGACATGGCAGAAACAAAATAATGTGCTGCAAGAGTCCACTCATGCACAATAGTTTGGAGGTGGCCTCCAAAGAAAGTGGACTCAGGGCAGTCGGTTTATTGGTTAGCCTGTGCCTTAATCCAGCCTTAATTCAACTCTGTACAAGATCTTAAGCTTTACTCCAGCTGTGCTGTTAGTAGGAGCAGAGCTTCTTAGGTATTGCCGTTTACTATGTGAAAGGCTCTTCCAGAGCACGTATGTCAGGCTCAGCCTGACATACTTTTAGATCTCTGCCAACAACATGGCTATGTCATAAGACTTTTATTGCGAGTTCTCTGGAGTGTGTTGTTTCAATGATCTCCATCTCTGTGTTGTTGTGTTTGAGATGCCAGTGCTCCACAAAGATACAGAAATGTTCTCAGAAATGATCCTTGACTTGCTTACTGTTCTATTTAGTATTTTTATTTACTTCACAATGTATTCTTATTTAACCCACCTCAAACTCACGGGGGGGGAAAGAAGCAGGTGTTTGTTGTGTTATTTTATAGCTTTACTCTATAATGGCATTTGGGTCTTATACTGCCTTAATAGCCTAGAGCAGTGATGGTGAACCTATGGCACGCGTGCCACAGCTGGCATTCAGAGCCCTTTCTGCGGGGAATGTGAACCATAAATGGCCAGATCACAACTCCCCCCCCCTGCAGCAAAGCCTGCGGAGGCGGCTACAGCTGCGGTGCTGGCGCTTCAACAGATGGCAGGGCCAGGATCCGGAGCTGCTAGCACTAGCGGCGGATCCAAAGTGGGGTCTCGAATCTCCATGCCCAAGATTCCCCCTTCTGCCGGTGCCACCGCACCCATAGCCCACTGCCTGCTGGGTTGTTCCCACCGCCCCCCCCCCATTTTGTGCACTCGGGCCCAAAGAGGTTCACCGCCACTGGCCTAGAGGCTCCAAAACCTAAAGTGAAGGTGGGTTAAAATGTTAATACACAATATTTTATATAAATTGGTGAGGTTAAATGCATTGAGTTTCTTGTTAAAGTCTTTTTACAATATTCACAGAATATGAACTGGCTGTAATGGATTTTGATGATGGAGACTTTGATGAGTCTATGGAGGAAATTGGAGCTGCAAGAGAAATGGGTGCAGTGCTGAAGGAAGAAGTAAAATCAGAAGAGAGACCAACACAGGAATTAGACTCTGTAAAGACAAGTTCGCATTTATTGTAAGTATTCGTACAAAAATGTAAAGGATTTCTCTCAACCGCAATTTCTTCCTTTCTAGAAAGATCATGATATGTTTGAAGAAACCTTTTTAATCCCAGTACTTTATACAGATACAGAATTTTCATTAAAAATGCAAGAGTAGTTTTAGACCAGTGAAAATAAGTGGTCCAATAAAGAAACATTTTATTAGAAATGTTACCTTGCTTGCATGAAAGTCTTAAATATGTCTTCCATTGTGACATAACATATGTGTTTACATTTTTTAAAATTAAAATAGATCTTTTTGAATATTTATCTCCTATTTATCAAGCTGCCCTTTCATCCATCCTCAGATGGATTTGGGGCACACAGAGGAAAGATCACTGAACAACCGTCAACCATCCATGACAATGGGTGGAGAGGGACTGCAGAAGTGTGATTATCCCTCACCCCCAGTCTTTTGTTCTTCTAACGAGCCTATTCAAACCAGGGCAAAGTAAAACTAACTTCGAGTGTATATCAGGGACCTCCTGTCAACTCTCTTCAGACGGAAGAAGCTGCTTGGAGGAATACCAAACATTTTACCTTAACAAGAAAGAAGTTCAGTTGCCATGACTGAATTTCCAGATAACTTTATTCAAAGAGATTTTCACACATCAACAACTTCTTCTTTCTTCTTCTTTCTTCTTCTTTTTTCATTCAAAGAGATTTTCACACATCAACAACTACTTCTTCGTTCTTCTTCTTTCTTGTTTCTTCTTCTTCTTCTTTTGCTGTTTTTCAGAAGCTCGTCCCTCCCTGATGTTTCCTGTTGGGATAGTATTGATGACAATGAAGATGGGCATTTGTCTTCAGAAATAAAAGTAGATTCCAGTCAACTTCCACTAATAAGTGGTGAAGATGGGCAGCAGGTTTTTAGGTTTTATTGGCTGGATGCTTACGAAGATCAGTATAATCAGCCAGGCAAGTGTGTATCTTGAATCCATTCTTATAATCACTCTTCCCTTCTCTCTTCTCCACCAAAGTCTTTTCTTGATCAAAGCACTGATTCTAAAAGTACTCAGTGTTTACAGTACAGTGGTGCCTCGCTTAACGAGCGCACCGCATAACGATGAAATCGCATAGCGATCCGTTTTTTCGGATCGCTAATGCGATCGCTTAACGTTTTTCCTATAGGGCACAATTCGCTTTGGGAAGACCGGTAAGCGTTTTGCTTATCGATCTTCGCAAAACGAAGCCCGACGATCAGCTGTTCGGCGGCCAAAATGGCCGCCGGAAGCCCGGAAATGGCCCAAAATGGCCGCGCGCAGCGTTTTCGCGCCCTCGTTAAGCGAGGCGAGGGCGCAAAAATGGCTGCCGGCCATTACGAAGCTTCGTTGAACGGTGAGTATTTGGCCCATTTGGAACGCATTAAACTATGTTTAATGCGTTCCAATTGGTTTTTTTGATCCGTTCAACGATGCTTCAGCATAGCGAAGGTTAATCCGGAACGGATTAACCTCGCTACGAGGCACCACTGTACTTGCTTTTCCTTGAAATTGAGGCTGTTTGCTGATTGTGAAATAAGATATCTCTGTCAACACTGAACAGGCATAAGAAAGAAGTAGATGCCCATGAACCACTGAATTGTCCTTCGAACTCCTTCGTTCATTGGAACAGGGAAGGCTAACCCCCTACCTGAGTCTCCTGTGCATCTCAGAATCATCTCTAGAGGACTGGGGAATCTTTTACATTTTAGACTCTCAAACATAGAGGGATATAGTGGGCAGCAATGGAAATTTGGCTTTCAAAATCTTATTTTCAGTTTTGGAGGGCACTGGGGGAAGGTGATATGTGGTGAGAGGACAGAAGCTTTCAGCTTTCTGTCATTTTCCCATGCAATTTGACTTCAGACCTGAAAGTTGTCCTGGGTATATACAGTATTTAATAATGTTTTATATGTTCAGTACCATTATTGTTTATAATAAACTCCAGGGACATGCAAAAGGTTTCTGGGTAAAAGCCCTGCTGTATCCAGTTCTTTAGATCTTTAATGTCATTTAGCTTAATCTTTATGCACATCTAATTTAGGAAGATGCAAAATGAAATTTAATGGCTAATGTTTCAGTTTAAAGCTTAATAGCAAAAAAATAATAATTTTACATCATTTATAACTTGGCAAGGTCTTTACTTATGATATCTTCTGGTATGCTGACTGTGTACAAAGTTTTGTGATAACAGGTGATAATTGACAAGCCTCTGGTGAAATTGGTGACTAGCAAGGGGAAAAAATCCTACCCCTGAAGCCCCTTGTATAATGTGCTCACTTTTATCTTGAATTCTGTATGGTGGTTTCTGAATGGTGCATAATTATGAAAAGACTTCTGTTCCTTGATTATGAAAAGAGATCCTGTCATCATAACTTTTCAAGGATGAATAATGAAGACTGCACCTGGTTTCAATTAGTAATGTAGAAAAAGATAAAAATTTTGGCAGTACTTTTTGTTTAAGAGAATCATGATAGTTATAGCAAATGAGGTATTAACTGCCTTGTATGAAGGACTCATATTACTTCAGAATATGTAAGAATTTTGCACTCAGGCTGTATTCACACGTAAAGCTAGAATCATGATTTGGCACTACCATGATGAGCCTCCGGGATAAAGGATCTGTGGCTCAGTGAAGTTCTTCTGGCTGCACAGGTGGTAAAAGGGAGGAGAAGGCTTTCAGAGATTGGATAGTGTAGTTCTAAATCATTGTTTAGTGTTACTTGTGGTCTTGAATACAGTGTCTTTTAGTACATGATTATAACAGGACTGAACTATTAGGAATGACATAATCCATGTTGATCTTAAGGAAGGTGACAGCAGGTATTGTAAATCCATTCTCACAATATAGAGATGAAATTCTCCCAAAAGTTTGATATATCTCAGAAGATGAGAGAAGAGATTAAAGAAATTCAATGACAATGTGCAATTTTAACAATTGTTACAAGTTTTTTTTGCAGTGCACTGTCCATTTACAGTAAAAAAAAATGCTTTTTTGTCCTCCAAATAAGACATTAAAAGTGACTAATGGAATACATCAGACAAAATGATAGTAATTCAGTGGCCAAAATTCTGTTGCATATCTGCAGCAGGAGTGATGTCATTGGCAGTGGCAGGTTGCTGCTAATTGAAGAGTTTCTGCTGCTCTCTTGGGTTACGCATGCGTTTTATCTCATTGCGTGCAAGTCATGTGCAATCCAGAATTGAAGACTCTTTGATTAGCGGTAGTCTGCTCCTGCTACCGATGTCATTCCTGTTGTGCTGGTGTAGCTACGCAAGTGGATGCTGGCCAATAAATCAAACAATTAAGTAAATACGTTAAAATAACATTTTAAGAGTGAAAATATCATTTAGAAAGCAAGAGAAATGGAAGTTATAGAGAAGAAAAAAATTCTTTGGAAACATAGTTTTAAGATCTTTTACTTACAAAAAGGTGGCATTCAGTGCTTGCATACTATTGTGATGCGTGCCTGCATAGTACAAGACTCTTAAAGCAATCACTTGACTGTGGAGTACTGACTTTCAGCAGATGGAGCTGTTAATTAGGGACTACAGATTGGAAATCATTCTGTTCCCATGGGTGAATTAGTGTGTTTATTCAGTAATTCTTAGTATTGCAGCTTTTCCATTAGCAGCTGTGCTTAGCTGTTTTGATTAACATGCATTGTCTCTGTCTTCACTTTTTTCTCTCGTCTTAGGAGTGGTGTTTCTCTTTGGTAAAGTGTGGATTGAATCAGCAAAGTCCTATGTGAGTTGCTGTGTGACAGTTAAAAATATTGAAAGAACAGTGTACCTGCTGCCACGTGAATCGGTATGTCTTTTTATATTGGTAACCGTGCAGTCTTAAAACAGTCTGTTTTACTGAGATTATTCAGGCAAAAGGCATTAACTCAGGCATAAATCACGTTGAATGCTTTCATGATGTATTACGGAATAAAGTATGGCTATCTTTCACATAATATGGACTGGAACATAGAGGAAAATAATGGAGCAGTAGAAAAGTGTTCTATAAATGGTATAGATATTGAAAAAAGAAGTAATGACACCTAATAATGTTAAGTGGATGGGGGGAAGGGTTTGGTTTTGTAACTCTCATAAATCACTTGGTGCCTAGTGTCAATACAACATCAGCTGTACGTTTTTTTGAAATATATGTAGTTTTATGTTACCTTTCTTCTTCCAAGTCTGACTTTAACCTTTAATTTTTGATCCCAGGTAAAATGTAGTCTGAGTGAGTGAAGCTGTATTTGCTCACCTTTGCTTTTGCTATACCACCTCTTCCATTCTTTGGGGAAGGATAGTGTAGTGCTTTAAAGTTTTAAACAAAAACTTGCCATCCTAATATTTGCTATATTTCTTTTTGAAGCGAATTAAGTTATCTTCTGACCAAGAGACAGAGAATCCTGTGACTATGATGGATGTCTATCAGGAATTTAATGATCGAGTTGCAGAAAAATACAAGATCATGAAGTACAAATCTAAGGTTTGTGTATCCCCTCCCTATCTTAGGTTTTTAAGCTGAGTGGTAGATATCTTCAGGTGGAGAAGTAATGACAAGAAGAAATTGGGATGTATTAAAGGATACAGGACATCTATAACTCCTTACAGATGATTGACTGATGTATCTAGGGAACTAACAGAAGAGATCAAAGACAAACAGTATGGTAGATTGTATTAGCTCATATTAGTCTAGATTCTCCTTTTAGGAGCAGTACTTGTCTAGTCACTTTGAAAAAGTTTTGTCCATCTAATCTTTATGCCCTTGATTAAAAAAGGTGACTTAATGAATGCAGTACATTTTAAAGGCAAATAAATGTTGGGAAAGTTTAAACAGAGGAATTATGTCAGGAGAAAAGACACAAAGCAACTGGAAGAAATGGAGAACTGCCCTCAAACTGAACAGCTTCCAATCTCATTCTGTTTCTGCATCTCCCCAAGGCTGAATTGGACCCATGTCTAATTACGTTTGAAATAAATACAGTGAAATCAGTGAAACCTATTAGTTATTACTAGTTTAAGTCCCATTGGTTTTCATGGGTGTCTTCTAAGTATTCTTGAATCTGGATCTAGCCTATCATATATGGATTGCTGAAGAGGGTGTTTTTCAAATAGGTTGTCCAGTTCCTTGTATTCTGAAATATTTCCACAAACACATAGTGGGTTTGCATTGACTTACATCTTGTTTTAGCATAATTTTTCTGTTGATTATATTGCTCATCATATGGGAGTCGAAAATGCAAAAGGTCTGTTTTGGTACCAATGATGTCCCAGTTTGTTGGGGATATGTCGCAATGGAAGGTTGTACTATCTTTTTATTGATATGTTAAATTTTCTGAAGTTTAGTATGAGAGAAAACCAGAGTATCTTTCTTTGAGTATGTACCTAATAGAGCACAGTTTGGTGATTTGTCACTTGCATAAATAAAACCAATTGCACACAAGAAGGACTATATAAATAATGCTATAATTTGGACAGGGAATAACTCAATATTACGTGTAATAGGTCAATACAAATGGGCTTCATACACCATGATTGTTGAATAAGAAATGTGTGGTCTGCAAGTCCCTTCCCTTCTTATGCACCAGTTTTGGTACAGGAATCCTTCTGGTTACTAACCAGTTTATTGAGATGAGCCACTTGCATTAAACCATGGTTTATTGAACTTGGCAGTATTATGTTTGACCAGCCTTTTGTAATATCAGATCATTTCAGGAGAAGAATGCAAAACAGGCCTTATAAAGTGTGCTGTCTTGGGTGCTTACAGGGAAAACCAAAATACTGCTCTTGCTACAAAATCTAGTCCAGATTCTGTTGAGTCTGGGCAATAAGCAACAAGTGAAATATAGCACCCTCTCAACTGCACACGGTAAGGATCTCAGATTTTTCAATAGATGAGATTTAGGGCTTCAATGCTTTCTGCTTTTCCTTCCCTATATCCATCTATTGAAGCAAGTATACTAAATTATGCAAACTGCTTGAGTTAAAGATTTGTGTGATTTAAACAATGTAGATCTCCAGGTTAAGTTTAAAGAGCAGATAACTGTTTTCTGATAACACAAACTCTTCTTCAGAGTTTGGGTTTTGAAATTTGAAGTAATAAAAAGCGACAAAGCTCTGTCTTTGTATGTGTGTGTCTGTGTGTCTGTGTAGCACTTTTTTTTCCTTCAGGGTGTGATGAATATCTCAAAACTTGTATTTTGTCTAGAAAGTGGAGAAGAATTATGCTTTTGAGATACCAGATGTTCCTGCAAAATCTGAGTACTTAGAGGTTAGATATTCGGTGAGTAGTGTTTTCCTGTTTCTCTGAAAGTGCTCCTTAAACGGAAAATGGTGTGTGTATATTATGCTCTTAAAATGATACTTTGAAACATATGTTAAATTCTGATACTTTAAAGTTGCAAATAATGCTTGTTTTATGTTGCTGTTGGCTGACTAATATGGCCTAAAGATAGCCCAAAAAAGTAAGGATCATCAAGAGTAGTCAGTTGACTATTTCAAGGAGTTAGAGGAGTCATGGTGGATATTGCTTGTTGTCTGATGATTGCTTTGAATAAATGAACTTGCATTTAAACATGTGAGAACCTGTGTGGTGTTGTGTACAGAGCATGGGACTAGAACACAGGGATCCAAATTCAATTCCCTGCTCAGCCATTGAAACGTCCTTGGGGATGGCAGTGGTAAAACACTCCTTGAAAATCTCACATATCTTGAAAAATTCTGTTAGGGTCAACATAATTCAGAAGCAAGTTGATAACACATGACAATGACAATAATTTAAATAGTGCTTTCAACTGCATTTGTTTAGATGAGTCTAGAAGCATTATTAGGGTGGTGAGCGAGACAACCTGGAGAGACGTTCCTATTCACTACAGCATGTCCGTGAGATTCACACTCCCTATTTTTCACCCACATTATATAGCAAGTCTTCTATATGTGATGCAGGTTCTGGTGTTTTATCAGATAAAATAACTCTCAAACTTTTCCTAGTATTTGGGGTTGTCTCTGTTAATTGTATCTTCCAGTTCTGACTAATGTGAAGTTTATTTGTTTGTTTTATTTATTGGCTGCCTTTCTCCCAGTAAGGGGACCCAAGACAGCTCACGAGATTAAAAGAACAGAATTAAAAACGTAGTAAGATGAAAATTTAAAAACAATTAAGCTATATATTAATTAAAATACAATTGGATAATTAAAAGCAGGCAAACATTAAAAACTATCTTTAAAATGGCATTCAGGGACTCAGTCATGATGGTTAAGAGCCTGCCTGACAATACTGGTCTTCAGCTGTAGGTGGAAGGGTAAAAGGGAGGGGGCCAGCCTGATCTCCCAAGGGAATGTGGTTTGAAACAGCCATCAGGAAGAGAGAAGGAAAATTTTTGAACCAACTTGTATTTCTTACATTTCCTCCTCTATTCATTCTCACCAACCACAGAATAGAATAATAGAATTGGATCAGCAATCCGTATTAAGCACCATATATGAACATTCTAACATCACCTATCATTCCAGCTCTTTTGCAATGCATGCAGTTCTAAAGAATAAAATATTATTACTGATATATGCACAAAACCTACATATACTAGAATTATCATAGAAGGTAACTATCTTTTTTCCCCACTTGGCAAATACTGGTATAGACTCCCTCGTGTATACTGATTGTGAGGTGGTTAGGGAACTCCACTGTTGCTGATAGGAGAGGACTACGTATTTGTATACTCTATAATTATAAATACGTTGCACCAGTAGTAATAGGAAGTCTGTTCCTTCCTCTCACCTCATAAGGAGCTTGTTTCTAGATCGAGTCTAAGGTTTGAGGTTTGGCCATCTGGGATGCTTGAAGTAAACTGTAGATCAGGTCTAAGGTTTGAGGTTTGGCCATCTGGGACGCTTGAAGTAAACTGTAGATCAGGACTGGGGCACTTTTGGCTCTCTAAAGATTTTAGATTATTATAGGTGTTGGTCCAAAATATCTTGAGGACTGAAGATTTTCCACCTCTGCTGTAGATCTGCAGGAATTATAATCCTTCATATGCTTTATGAGCCCTATTTCTGTGGCTTCAGGTTAGCCTGTCAAGCCAACTGGTAAGTTTCATGTGGCTGAGGAAATTTTCCTTTTGTATATTTAGTTTAAAGACATCTTGCTTGCTGCTTCTGTGAATATAGTTTTCCTGCTGGAATGCTTTGTGATAGAATTGGCATACAGTCTTTTACAAATTTTAAAAGTATGCTTGCAATACAGAATAATCAATATATTTTGATTTTCAGGCTGAATATCAGCAACTACCTCAAGATCTGAAGGGAGAGACATTTTCTCATGTATTTGGAACAAACACTTCAAGTCTAGAACTACTTTTGTTGAGCAGGAAGATTAAAGGACCAGGCTGGTTGGAAATAAAAAACCCACGTATGAATATTTTATATCGAATATATCACTTGTAGGAGAATGATTGCTTATATATATGTTCAGCTGCTGTGGTGCTATTAATAACAAAAAGAGGAGAACAAAACAGCCTGTTCAAAAGTTGCTAGTTTAATGAAAATATTTTAAGATTGAATTTTCTTAGAATGTGTATAATTTCAAATCTACAATTGTCGCATATTTGGAAACCGTCTTTATTTTTAACTATATTATTTTACAGCTGTATGGTACATACATTTACATCAAGGCAGCGAGTTGCTTCTCTAGGAAATGGATGCTCCCCAAATTGTATCTTGTCTTTATTCTGTTTATGTGCATGTGATTGTTTAACATAAATGTATAGCCCATGTATAAAATAATTCTGTGCCTATAAATCATATTACTGAGTACTGTATCCAGTTTTAGTTCCAGCTAGAATGGAGCTATTAAATGAATGGGGCTTGTTAAATCAGAATTTATGGAAGTTCCATTGGTTCAGTGTTCTACTTAAGCTCAGAATACTAGCTTTTTTAAGCCCTAAGTCATTATAGGATTAACTTACAAGACCTCTTATTTTTTGTTCTATATTCTCTCACATGGACACACATATTATTGAACTCACTTGTACAGTGATGCCTCGTAAGACAATTGCCTCACGGGACGATTAATTTGCAAACGATGGGTTTGTGTGATCGCTGTTGTGCTTTGCAAGACGATTTTTCCTATGGACGATTTTCGCAAGATGATGTTTGGGTCTGTGCTTCGCAAGACAATTTTTTTTCAGACCGATGCTTCGTAAGATGAGTTTTTCCCCATTGGAACACATTAAATAGATTTCAGTGCATTCCAGTGGGGAACCGCGTTTCACAAGATGATGTTTTCCATGGATGATTTTCGCAAGACGATGATTCCCCCTCCCATTGGAACGCATTAAATACATTGCATTCCAATGGGGAACCGCGTTTCACAAGATGATGTTTTCCATGGATGATTTTCGCAAGACGATGATTCCCCCTCCCATTGGAACGCATTAAATACATTGCATTCCAATGGGGAACCGCGTTTCACAAGACAATGTTTTCTCAAGACAGCGATTTTCGCGGAACGAATTAACATCATCTTGTGAGGCACCGCTGTACATATTTTTGGAGAGATTGTGTTCTCCTCCCAAAAAAACCTTATCTGGAACAGAGTTTAAGTGTCCAATTAATGGGGAGAACATGTGTCATTGCAGATTGTTAAAATGTAGAATTAATGGCCTTAAAAAAACACTGCTAAATTGTATTGTGGCATACTTAACTGTTACGCTAACTTTTTACTCTAGATCAGTGGTCAGGGAACAGGGGTAAATTACCCCAAATGGGGTAAAAATGAAAATCCTGAGGGTAATGGGGATGGTTGCTGCAGGCATTTTACCCCCAAGCATTTTATTTCTGGTGATGCTGTGTGTAGGCGGGCATTCCGTCGCGGGGAGAGCGAGCCCTGGCAAGGAACTGCACAGGGCACCCGCGTGTCCTCCTTACCTCCAAAGTGTGTGTGTGGGGGGAGGGCCGTGGACCAGGCCAGCTGGACTCTTTGCCCAGCGGAGCCCTGTCCAGGGCTCTCCTTCCTGCCTGTGCCCACCTGCCCGGTGCACTGGCAAAGAGGCCCCCTTCCCACTCCACCTCCCCTGAGCTCAGGGCCAGTGGACCTGCCAGCCCTGTGGCGCCCGCCTCCCCTCTCCAAGGACGTGCTTTCCCAGTGGTGTGGCAGCTCCAGACTGGCTGCCTGGATGGTGGCCACAGGTCCTGGGCGAGCGCAGGAGGGGTGGAGGTCAGCTGTGGACGGCAAGAGCCAAGGGGAGGGGGTAATGTCAACGTAAATAACTTTTTTTGGGGGGGGAAGGTAAAAAAGTTCCCTGACCCCTATTGAATAAAAGTATTACAGTAACCCTTGTTTAAATATTCTTTTGTGTGAGTTCTAAATATTGTTTTTTGGTTTATCTCAGAGCTCTCAACCCAGTCTGTCAGCTGGTGTAAGGTAGAATTAATGGCCTTGAAACCTGAGCTGGTGAATGTAGTGAAGGATCTTCCTCCACCTCCTCTTGTGATCATGTCTCTTAGCATGAAGACAGTTCAGAACACAAAATCTCATCAGAATGAGGTTTGTACCCTAACATGCTTCAAAATTACTTGACTGACTGATTAGTTCTTCTGTAGCTGTGTTTGGTGCAGATTCTGAATTCTGTGGAAGTGGAAACACTTTTCTACTGGTAGACTTGATAGTGTATTCTCTGTTACTGCATTTGTTATAGAGACATTGGATCTTGAAGCGCAGTACTTCTTCAACGTACTGATTTTTGCTGGTCCCATAAATATGTATCTGAATAAACGCTGGCCGTCTCTTTTTAATAATAATCTTTGTTACATTAATAGTTAGATTGACAACTTCAGAAATTTGTAGATTTTAAATGTGTTCCATGCAAATGAATGAATGAAACTGAGACTAGAGTTTTCTACTATTTCAACCTTTGCAGCCATAGCCCGTTTTACCTGTATATGGAAGCATGAAATATCCACATAGCAATTCAAAAAGGAGTCCTGAATTTTATTCCATATTGACAGTGAACTCAAGTGGCTCTCCCTTGTTCTTAAAGTTGTCAGAATTTAATATGTATTATTATCACAAAGTCTGTTCATAGGTGTACTTTTCCCTGTTCTGGACGTTCAAGATATGTTAACAAATGTCAAGAAATTAAAATTCTTTCACCTTTCTTTCAAAATGCGGCCATTTATTTACCCGGTGGCCATTTTGGAACCGCCGATCAGCTATTAGGAAAACATCGCTATGCGAAAATCAGTAAGCGAAACAGCTTACCGATCATCGCAAAGCATTGTTTTACCATTTAAAACATCGCAATGCGATTGCAAAAATGATTGCAAAAACACATCGCTATGTGGATTCGTCGTTAAATGGGGTGCCCATTATGCAGGGCACCACTGTATTTAAAAAAAAGGAAGCTAGTGAGCAAAAGAAAAATATGGAAGCATGAAATATCCACATAGCAATTCAAAAAGGAGTCCTGAATTTTATTCTATATTGACAGTGAACTTGAGTGGCTCTCCCTTTAAGAACAAGGTAGAGCCACTTAAGTTCACTGTAAATATGGAGTTGTCAGAATATGTATTATATTATTATCACAAAGTCTGTTCATAGGCGTACTTTTCCCTGTTCTGGAAGTTCAAGATATGTTAACAAATTTCAAGAAATTAAAATTCTTCCACCTTTCTTTCAAAATAAAAAAAAAAATAGGGAAGAAGTGTGTTCTGATTTTAGTTGTTTTCTGAAATTAGGGAGTTTTCCTGGAATTGGATAAGTAAGATACTGACAAATTACTGATGCACAGATTGGTTGTCTTTTCAAATTTATAATCTGTTATTCATTGACTTTAGCATACAACAAATGGGTTATAACCATTTCCCAGCAGAATACATCATAAATTTTTAATCATGGTACATGGTTAGATTTATTGAATGGATTATTAAATCAGTATGTAATTTAACAGATGAACAACACCTTGGTTTACTGTGGGAGAACTTTAAATGACTTCCTTAGTTGTGTGTTCATTCACCTTTTCATTTTTGTTTGTTTAGATTATGGCTATTACAGCTTTGATACATCACAAATTTAGTTTGGACAAAGCACCACCTGATCCTCCTTTTCAGACCCATTTCTGTGGTAGGTATAAATGAAATTACAGTATATTAGCATCTGCCTGTCTGGCTTGAATGTGAGGTGTAATGTACCAAATACATTTGTCTAATGGCTTGACCCTTGTTCTGTAGCAGTAGTCATACCTTATGTTGAGTAGATTTGAATGTGTGAGTATTTATTGATTTCTACAAGGAGGAAGGAATCTATGTAGGTAGCCTACATGTGTAATATACTAGTGACTAAAGTTTTAAATCAATTTTTATCTTTGGACAAAGTCTTTCTCCTAGTTGGAGGCCCAAGGTCAGGGACCACTGCCTTATGGTGAGTAGATTTGAGTGTGTGAGTATTTATTGATTTCTACAAGGAGGAAGGAATCTATGTAGGTAGCCTACATGTGTACTATACTAGTGACTAAAGTTTTAAATCTATTTTTATCTTTGGACAAAGTCTTTACCCTGTAAAATGTTCTATATGCTTGAACAACTGTCTTAGGATGAGCACAGGATCAGGGATGATTTTATACAAAACAGCACAAAAGAAACAGGAAAAAAGAGAAACTTCCAGAAAATGAAACTTAACTTCCAGAAAATTAAAAATAAATAAACAAATATATAAATACACAGTGCTCCCTGCCATTGGGACCATTTGGGAGTGACAACCTGTACCATTTACTCTTGTGGCGCCCCATCTCCCTTCTAAAATTGTATTGACTTTTGCAGTGGGCTTTGTCCCTTCTCTTCAATTAATGCAAAATTGATAAATTCTCCCCATGTAGCTATACATTCATCTTTAAAAATAAATAAACAAATATATAAATACACAGTGCTCCCTGCCATTGGGACCATTTGGGAGTGACAACCTGTACCATTTACTCTTGTGGCGCCCCATCTCCCTTCTAAAATTGTATTGACTTTTGCAGTGGGCTTTGTCCCTTCTCTTCAATTAATGCAAAATTGATAAATTCTCCCCATGTAGCTATACATTCATCTCTTCCTATCCCCCGCTTAGGTGTTATATGACAGGTAGGCTTATCATTGATAGTGATATCCCAAACATTCCTATACCAGTCACTTAACTGGAACTTATAAACTATTTTTGAATTCCAAGCAGTAATCAGTCAAATCAGATTGATTATATTCTCTGCAGCCAAAGATGGAGAAGCTCTATACAGTCAGCAAAAACAAGACCTGGAGCTGACTGCGGTTCTGATCATCAGCTTCTCATAGCAAAATTCAAGCTTAGACTGAAGAGATTAGGAAAAACCACTGGGCCACTCAGGTATAATCTAAACCAAATCCCTTATGAATACACAGTGGAAGTAAAGAACAGATTTAAGGAACTAGATTTGGTGGACAGAGTGCCTGAAGAACTTTGGATAGAGGCTCGTAACATTGTCCAGGAGGCAGCAACGAAAACCATCCCAAAGAAAAGGAAATGCCAGAAAGCAAAGTGGCTGTCCAACGAGGCCTTGGAAATAGCAGAGAGGAGAAGGGAAGCAAAATGCAAGGGAGATAGGGAAAGTTACAGAAACTTGAATGCAGACTTCCAAAGAATAGCAAGGAGAGACAAGAGGGCCTTCTTAAATGAACAATGCAAAGAAATAGAGGAAGATAACAGAAAAGGAAAGACCAGAGATCTGTTCAGGAAAATTGGACATATTAGAGGAACATTTTGCGCAAAGATGAACATGATAAAAGACAAAAATGGGAGGGACCTAACAGAAGCAGAAGACGTCAAGAAGAGGTGGCAAGAATACAC